GTATAAAATTTTAAAAATACAAGTCCAATTGCTAGAAAAACATGCATAGCAGGAACTCTCACTCATTGCTGATAGAAATGCAAAATGGTACAGTCACTTTTGAAGATAGTTTGTCACTTTCTTAAAAACACAGCATAGTCTCACCTTAGATCCAGCAGCACACTCCTGGGTATTTTCCTAACTGATTTGAGGACATACGTTCACACAAAATCCCATACATAAACGGTTCTAGCTGCTTAGTTGGTAATCACCTCAAACTCAAATATATCCTTTAATGGATGAATAGATAAACAAACTGTGACAGAGCCTTATAATGGCATATTATTCATAAATAAAAAAATAACTTACAAGACATGAAAAGACATTAAAAATATTAAATGCATATTGCAACATGAAAGTAGCCAGTTGGAAAAGGCTATAGAGTGTATGACTTCATTTATATGACATTTTAGAAAGGGAAAAATTATAGAAACAATAAACATATATAGAAAAGTGTAAGAAGGTTAAGCACAGGAGATTTATTAGGGCAATGAAACTATTTTTATGATACTGTAAGGGTTCATACATGACAGTATGTATCAAAAATTATAAAACTTTATAGCACAAAGAGTGAATCTTAATGTATGGAAAATTAAAGAAATAATTTAAGAGATCAAGAAATTCCAGGATGAAACGCAGAATATAAGCAAAGCATTCTAAGTATTAAAAATGTACGAAACAATCTCACTGAGGAGCATGAGGGGAATTTGCTGCCCTAAGTAAATTGGAAATGAATGTTGTAAAGCTGAGGTCAAAAGGAACTGTATATAAGTGCTATACTATAGTTAGTAAAGGTGTTTCCCACAGGAGTATAGATTAATAATTCTAAAACCAGTATACATGTATATTGAAATTGAACAATTAACTGAATGGATTGACAGATGACAGGTGATGGCTTTCTCATTGTTGGAATGGGATGTTACAGGTAAGCAACGTGAGGAGGCTAGAATAATTTTTCTTGTAATGGATTAGAGTTGGAGATGTCAGCATGAAGTCATGCTTAGTGTAATATAGATACAGATGGTTACATATACAAATATTTACAGGTGTGTGTAGATACACATATATATTTCATTGCTCTGTGAACTGAGAAAGGCTGTAAGTAACAACTCTCCCAGTAGCAACAAGCACACCTAGCACTAAGATGTGAGTTTCTAAAACCATCATCTAGTAAAAATAATTAGGGCTCCTTGGAGAAATGGCTGACTCTGGGACTGGGGCATGAAACACAGTTACCCCTCTGTGGATTCCACATCCATGGATTTAAAAATCCAAAGATAAAAAATATTGTGAAAAAACTGAATCTGTACTTAACATGTACAGACTTTTATTTTCTTATCCTTATGCCCTAAAAAATACAGAGTAACAACTTTTTTAAAATTGCATTTATGTCATAGTAGGTATTATAAGTAATCTAGAGATAATTTAAAGTATATGAAAGGATGTGTATAGGTTATATGTAAATATTATACCATTTTGTATTAGAGATTGAGCGTCCGCAAATTTTAGTGTTCATGGGAGGTTGTTTTAAAAAAAGTTTTGTGGGTACAAAGTAAGTGTATATTTTTGTGTGGTACATGAGATATTCTGATACCATGGAAGGCCCTGAAACCAATCCACCAGGGATACTGAGGGACAACTGTATATAAAATGAGCCTGGAGCATTTCATAGTGTCAGAAAGTAAGGTCTGAGAAACTTCTTAAGTGACATCACAAGGTGCTGCATTCAGCAAAATCCATACTGTGGGAAACTGGACAAAACACGATCTGTTTATTTATTTTTTTGTCTTGTTTAAATTGCAAGCTAAAAAACTTTAATGGTCGGATAAATTATAGATTAAAAAGCACTAAGTGACAACCATTACAATAATTAGATCATATTTAAACACTAATTCAAAGAAACTAATTTTTAAAGTATATGTCTGCCAGATAAATATAGAAATTATCTGGGCATTTGATGATTACGCATTAAAATTGTTAGAAAATACAATTACATTGAATTTACGTTTCACAAAAGAGTTATCATCTTTTATAAAAGCATATTAAATAATTAGAAATAAAATGATATGATGTCTGGGATATGCCTCAAATCTTTTCAGTGGCAAGAAATGGAAGTAGGTAAGGGTAAAATTAGAACCAGATTGGACAATGTATTGAAGATAGTTGATGCTGAGTGTCTGGTATATTGGTTCATCTCTTTACTGCTGTATATGTTGAGAATATCTGTAATAAAAACTGTTTGTTATAAATATCATGCCATTAAATTTGAAATCCTAAATGAAATTGGCCACTTACAGTTTTAATGAAACAATACAAACTGAAACTGTACAGTATTCAAAACTCAAACCACTGCCAAATGTTCCAGGACAAGGCAGTTTTGGAGGCCAGTTATATCAAATGATCATGGAGAAACAAATTACCATCTTATGTAAACTCTTCCAAAGCATACAATAGGATGGGTAATTATTCAACTCATTTAGCCAGGCCAGCACTCTTTGATTGAAATACCAGATGAGAACAACCAGTGAAAAGAATGCTTGAGCCAAGCTCTCTCACATAGCAGCAAATATTATAAATAATTTAATAGCATATTCAACCTAACAGTGTATTAAATGAACAAACAAGCTGTGCCCAATGAATAAAAATTATGACAATATTAGAAAATGCTTTTAATTGTAATTCCCTGTAAAAAAATTAGAGGAGAAAAAACACTTGATTATGTCAATAGCTACATAAAAAAGCATTTCAGAGAAATTTAACCCAAGATAATGGAAAAAAAAAAAAGAAAGAAAGAAAGAAAAAGTAAACTAACACTAGAATAGAACTTGCATTACTTAAAATCTATAGCAAATGCATTTAAATGTGAAATGTTATAAGAATTCCTAATAAAGCCAAGAACAAGACAAAAATGTATGCTATCTTCTCTACTGTTCAAAACTGCCCTGAAACACATAACCAGAGCTATGGGTACCAGGATAAATAAGATACATGAATTTTGAAAAGAAAGATATTTGGAAACAATGCTACCTTTAAAGAAAATTCAAAGGAATAGACATATGGAATATTTAAATGAATAAAAGACTTTAGAACAAAAGCATTTTGTGGAAGCTCATTATAGCAAAATCAAGAAACTGGCCATACAAAAGCAGTAAATAAATACAACATGTAATTTTAAAAATCCCATTAACAACAGCAAAAAATCTCCAAAGATTACCTAAAAAAGAATCCCAGCAAAAATGAGCAAGATCTTAATGGAAGCAACTGTAAAAGTTTGCTGATTCAGGTGGAAGAAGTCCCAAATAAATAAAGCATTATATCATATCCATTAATGGGGAACAGAATATTTTGAAAGTGTGAATTTTCCTTATATTGTTTACAGAGTTAGTGCCTTACCTTTAGGCCAAAATGAGCATCAAGTTCATATTACTAACTTACACTCCAGAATCAATCCTGATGGGAAGAAGGGAAAAAAACCATAATCAACATTCAACAAAGTCTATGCAGCAAAACATGATAGAACCCTAAGGAGACTGTAGAATGTTGAACTGGACCTTGTGTTTGGAGTAGGGAGAGTGAAAGACATCAGTGCATTTGAGAAGGTCTGTAGTCTGCATAGACGGCAAATAGGATGAGTAAGAAGAAATACTTAAACTTCTGGCCCTGCTTTATTGCACAATCTGAGGCAGCACCTCAAACCACAATGCCAGTAACCCTGGAGTGATATCAGGACATCAGGAAAGGTGGGGTTAATTGAGGGAGTATGACTCTGGAGTCTGTACTAATAACCACCTGAAGCCACCATAGTGACGACTGGTCTTTTTGAGAAATTATTAGAATATAAAAAATAGTCTAGAAATAGGATAACTGGTGAACCACACAGAGTAAGGTAGGCATTCTTTTGCGAAATGTTTTATATATATATATATATATATATATATATATATATATATATAACATTTATATATATATTTATATATTATTTATATATATTTATATATATTATTAAATATATATATATTTAAAATATACACTTGGCTGACTTTTAAAATATGTATTTACTAGGAATGAGGGTTAGAAAAATAGAAATCACGTCATTGGACTATAAAATGTCAGCTAAACTCAAAACAGTAGGACGTCTCCACACCCTGATGCTCAGCCTCTTTCTTGTAGAAAACATACCCTTTAGGGCAAAAAAAAAAAAAAAAAAAAAAAGACAAGTCTGCTTCCGGCTTGGGCAGAGCCCCCGTGGGAAGATGTGCATCTTCTCCCAGAGGTCACCACAATCACGGGTGCTGCAGCTCCCCAGAGACCATCTGGCCTGGGACCTGCAACCGTGCTCTGCAAGAGGTGCAGCTGGGAAAATGCTTAGAGGTAACAGAAACAGAGCATGTCCCACCCATCACTTCATCAAAGAGCCAGAAGCCAGGAGGAGGACTCTCCTGAGTGAGGACTGAGGGTCCACCCACCCCACACAAAGGGGCCACAGAATACAGCTCAGACCTGGAAGACCCTGACAATGTTGTCACCCTGATCATAACCTTCCCTGCACTGTCAACTCAGAGCACTCCAAGTCAAGAAACCTGATGTAAGGGGAGCAGACATCCTCAGCACGAAACAGGGGTCCAGGCTATTCCAAGCATCAGGGTTGAGACAATGAGGGATGACTGAAAGACCCCACCGCCACTACGACCCACATCCCCACAATCCCCATCGCAGTCTCCACCCCCACACCCCTCCCCACACCCATCTTCACCACTACCCCTGCAGGAACCCCATCCTCAGCCCCACCCCACTGCATCTGGACTCCTACTCCTACTCTGCCACTCCCACACCCACTGCAGCGGAATCCACTCCGCCCCTGCTGTCAACACAGGGAAGCCCCAGGGGCCGGATGTGACGCCACTGACTTGCGCCTCAGGGATCAGACAGACGCGAGATTCTCGTTCTGAGACAAGCTTGAAATCGGCTGAAGAGAGAGGGCTCACGCTCTGTGAGGAGGCAAGGTGAGAGGCTGAGGGAGGAATGAGGCCGCCCCCCAACCCGGACAGAAAGCCCTAAATAATCCAGCGCCGCCTCTGCTTCTAGCCCTGGACCACCTGAGGGCAGACTTCTCAGGCTGGTCGGTCACATCCCCGCCCCCACTCTCTCCGGCAGCTTAAGCCGCTGGGGACGCTGGAAATCAGAGCTTGGTTTGACCAAGACAGAGCTGGTTAGGAGGGAGCAGCGCCTAGGTTCTGCTAGACATCAAGGGGTCTGCCCCTGATGTCAGCTCTAGGAAGCCCTGGGCATGTCGGCCAGGAATGCAAATTCTGACCTCCTCCGCATCTGAGGTTGACCGAGGAAACAGGATTGGTACTATGAATGCGGTTTCGGGGGAGCAGACACACGGCCCAGGCCCTGCTATGAGACGAGGGAGGCATGAGGGGATCCTAGGACAGGGTGCCCACCCCACCCCTGTCTCAGACTGAGACACTTCCTCACTCAACCTCCGGAATCTGAGGGACGGAGACTCACGTCAATGGCGGTGGCTGGGGGGTGAGGGGCGGGCTGGGGAAGGGTGAAAGAGAGAGCAACCTTGCCAGGAGTCAAGAGGAGGAAGAAGAGAGAGGACTCACGGGAACTTGTGGTCCACATCAGTGGAGACCTCAGCTCTGCGCGGTTTCAACCACGGTGGCGCATGTGATGTGTCTTTGCTCTGCCTTTGGGGTGTCAACAAGGAGAGGGCTGTGGTGTGAGGAGTGGAGTCTCAGGTCAGCAGAGGGAGGAGTTCCAGAACCCTAAGGGAGGACTCAGCAGATCCCTGCATCTCAGAACTTGAAAACCTGTCCCTCTTATCAGGTCTGAAACCCCAGGCAGGACTGTGAGGAAGGGAAGTAGCCCCTATTTCTCACCAGGGAGATGGTGGCCTTGGCGTCCAAGACCCATACACAGTTCAGCAAGAGGGAAAGGGCCGGGCTCTGTCAGAGTGAAGCTGAATACCTGGAGGATACCCAAATAGAGGAAGTCCCTACCCTGTCCCCCCTCACCCTGTCAAATCTGCTCCTTCTGTCAGCTTTGGGAATCCCATGCAAGTGTGATCATGTGGTGCCTCCTCCCCCATTTCTGCCTCCCGGGTCTCAGGGAGGTGGGAACCTTGGCCCAAGGTTTGCTAAGAAGTTATCACACAGTTCCACACCTGGCCAACAGAGAGAGGAGTCCCAGAATCTGCAGCAAGGTGTGCCCCCTTTGTGAGGACTGGAGGTACCTGCAGCCCAGAAAGAAGGAATGCCACAGAGTCTGGCTGTCCCCTGTTCTTAGCTCTGGGGGGAGCTGATCAGGATTGGCACTAAGTGGCAAGCTCACTTTAACTACAGGCAGGAAGTTGAGGAATCCTCAGGGAAATGGAGTCTTGGTTGTAAAGGGGAGACATCAGCCGTGGACACCCCACAGGAGTGATGGGATGTGACTCCTTTTGTTTTAGGATCTCAGGGAGGTGAGAACCTTGCTCTCAAAGCGTGACTCAGGTCAACACAGGGAGCCCCTCTGTTTCACAGACACAGTGGGTGGCAGGATCTGACAAGAGTTCAGGTAAGGAAACTGAGGGAAATTTGAGGGTATCCCCAAGCCATAACACAGATGGAGACCCCACAAAAATCTGCCATGACCCTACTGTCACTCTGGAGAACCTAGTCAGGGCTGTTGGCTGAGGCCCCCCGTCTTGTACAAGGACAATTGGTCTCTGGGAGGGAGAGGTGTTGGTCTAAGGGGGCTGCACTCAGGTCAGCAGAGGGAGGGTCCCAGACCCTGCCAGAAGTCAAGGTGAGGACTGAGGGGACCCCATTCTCCAAACACACAGGACTCAACCCCACCCTGCCCCTTCTGTCAGCCATGGGAATTCACAGGGAACTATGGGTAGATGGACTCCCCTCACTTCCCCTTTCCATGTCTTCTGGAGACAGGGCATTGGTTTAGGGACGTGGCCTCAGATCAACAAAGGGAGGGTCCCAGGCCCTATCAGGCATCCGGATGAGGACCAAGCAGGCTCCTCACCCAGGACACATGGACTCAGCTGAATATGGTCACCCCTTGCTGTCCTTTCTGGGAGGACCTCCTTAGTTGTGGCTCCACCAGATGTGGGTCCCCTCATGTCTTCTATTTTGTATCGGGGATGTGAGCTTTTGATCTGAGAATTTCTTAGGTCAGCAAAGGGGAAGGGTCCAGGCTCTTCCAGGAGAACGGTAAGAGCCTTGTGTGAACACAGAGGGGGCTATCCACTCCAGAGTAGTGGGGAACTCACAGAGTCCAGCCCATCCTCCTGACAGCACTCGGAGGCTGGGGCTGTGCTTGCAGCCTGAACCCTGAGGGCCCCTCAGTTTCTTTTTCAGGAGCTCCAGGGACTGTGAGGTGAGGCCTTGTTCTAAGACAGTGTTATCAGATCACAGAACAGAGAGGGCCCAGACAGTGCCAGGCGTCAAGGTGAGGTGCATGACCTGAATGTGCACCAAGGACCCCACTGCTCCATAACAAAGTGGACCCCACTGCACCAATTCCACCTACCCTACTGCCAGTCCTGGAGCTGTGGCCTCTGCTGGCTGCATCCTGAGGAGCCGTCTCTTGCTTCCTTCTTCAGATTCTCAGGAACAGGGAGACCAAGAGGTCAAGAGCTGTGGAACGCCACAGAGCAGCACCGAAGGAGACCTGTAAGTTGGCCTTTGTTAGAACCTCCAGAGTGTGGTTCTCAGCTGTGGTTCTCAGTGGCCACATACATCCTCCCTCTCTCCCCAGGCCTGTGGATCCCCATCACTCAACTCCTGTCCACACTGCCACCTGCTACACTGATCAGAGTTATCATGCCTCCACCTCCAAAACGTCGGCGTCTCATGCCCGAAGAAGACCTTCAATCCCAAAGTGAGACACAGGGCCTTGAGGGTGCACAGGCTCCCCGGGCTGTGGAGGAGGATGCTTCCTCATCCACTTCTACCTGCTCCTCCTCTTTTCCATCCTCTTTTCCCTCCTCCGCCTCTCCCTCCTCCTCCTCCTCCTGCTATCCTCTAATATCAAGCACCCCAGAGGAAATTTCTGCTGATGATGAGACATCAGATCCTTCCCAGAGTGCTCAGATAGCCTGCTCCTCCCCCTCGGTCATTGCCTCCCTTCCATTAAGCCAATCTGATGAGGGCTCTAGCAACCAAAAGAAGGAGAATCCAAGCACCCTACAGGCCCTGCCAGACACTGAGTCTTTACCCAGAAGCGAGATAGATGAAAAGGTGACGAATTTGGTGCAGTTCCTGCTCTTCAAGTATCAAATGAAAGAGCCAATCACAAAGGCAGAAATACTGGAAAATGTCCTAAAAAATTATGAAGACCATTTGCCTGTGATGTTCAGTGAGGCCTCTGAGTGCATGCAGCTGGTCTTTGGTCTTGATGTAAAGGAAGTAGACCCCACTGGCCAATCCTTTGTCCTTGTCATCTCCCTGGGCCTTACTTATGATGGGATGCTGAGTGATGTCCAGAGTATGCCCAAGACTGGCATTCTCATATTTATCCTAAGCATAATCTTCACAGAGGGCTACCGTGCCTCTGAGAATGTCATTTGGGAAGCACTGAATATGATGGGGCTGTATGATGGGATGGAACACTTCATTTATGGGGAGCCCAGGAAGCTGCTTACCCAAGATTGGGTGCAAGAAAACTACCTGGAGTACCGGCAGGTGCCCGGCAGTGATCCTGCACAGTACGAATTCCTGTGGGGTCCCAGGGCCCACACTGAAATTAGGAAGATGAGCCTCCTGAAATTTTTGGCCAAGGTAAATGGGAGTGATCCCAGATCCTTCCCACTGTGGTATGAGGAGGCTTTGAAAGATGAAGAAGAGAGAGCTAAGGCCATTATTGCCACCACAGATGATACTACTGCCACGGCCAGTGCAAGTTCTAGTGCTACAACCAGCTTCTCCTATCCTGAATAAAGTCAGATAGACTTTTCACTGTGTTTTAAAAGGGAAGCCAAATACCACATTATGTCACTCATATGTGGAGTCTTAAAAAAAAGTTGATATTGTGGAAGTAGAGAGTAGATCAGTAGTTACCAGAGATTGGGGAGAGGAAGGAGAAGATGGGCTCTGAAGTGATTAGCCAACATGGAAAACTACGATTAAATAGGAGGAATAAGTTCTAGCTTTCTATTGCACAGTAGGATGACTGTAGTTACATTAAGATATTATATATTACAAAACAGCTAGAAGGAAGGCTTTTCAATATTGTTACCACAAAGAAGTGATAAATGCATGAGGTGATGGATACACTACCTGATTTATTATACTGCATACACATGAATCTAAACATCAAAGTGTACTTCATAAATATCTACAATTATATGTCATTTTTTTTTAAATTTATGAAAACAAATGACAAGAGAAGCCAATGATGTATGTAGTCCAGGGCCAGGCTGAGGCTGAGGAAAATACAGTGCCTAACATCTTTGTCTTACTGTTCTCTTTGGATAGCTTGGGGACTTCTTTGCTTTTCTTGGTATTTTATTTTATTTTATTTTATTTTTTTATTTTTTTATTTTTTTTTTCAGAGTCTCACTCTGTCACCCATGCAGGAGTGCAGTGGCGCAGTCTTGGTTCACTGCAGCTTCTGTCTCCTTGGTACAAGCGATTTACCTGCCTCAGCCTCCCAAGTAGCTGGGATTACAGGTGCATGCCATCACACCTGGCTAATTTTTGTTTGTTTGTTTGTTTTTAGTAGATACGGAGTTTCACCATGTTGGCCAGGCTGGTCTCAATCTCCTGACCTCAGGTAATCCACCCGCCTCAGTCTCCCAAAGTGCTGGGATTACAGGTGTGAGCCACTGGACCCAGACTCTTCTTGGTGTTTTAAAATGTTGTTACTTGTACTAGAAAGTTTATGAGCTTCAGAATCTAAAGTTACACATTTATTTCTGTTTATCCAGTTTAAGAAACAGTTTTGCTCTTTTGTAAAACAAATTAGGAAACCTTCCATTTTATTTGTAATCTGTAATAAAACAACATGGAATTGGAATAGCAATTTTCTTGGAAATATGAAAAAATATTAGAAATTAGAGAAAATAATTTTGTGTTAATATTTTTATTTATTTATTATTTTCATCCTGCAAAATTAGAAGTTTTATCCCTGTATCTTGTTAAGTCAAAATTAAACTGTAATAAATGAAACCTTTGCTCACTGGTGCATTTCCTCCGCAAATATCCACTAAGCATCTGGTCTATGGAAGGCTATGGGTCTGTAGTGGAAATGCTAAGTTAAGCCAGAACCACCTTTACCCACAGGGTGGTAGAGTCCAGGGGCTGCAGTCAAGTAATAAGGTGGCAAGATACCCTCTATGACATAGAGGAAAGAAAGACAGGGGTGAGGGTATTGGGCTGTAGGTGAGAGTAGTCAAGTGTACATACCCTGAACCAGGACTTTTGGGGCTTTGAGAAACTGCCGTTCCTTCCGGTGAAAATGAATCCAAAGAAGCTGTGTGGTGCCAGAGCCAGAGTCCCACATAGTTGAGAGAAAATCCTGGGATGTAAAACTGCTCTGAGCAGTTCCTTTTGGGTGATGAATGAACAGAAAGGAGTCTCCACCTGGGGCAGGAATGGAAAGTCTTCTGCACTCTTGTCTCAGTGCAGTTGCACAGCACAATAATTAGATGATAGATGCCCATATCACATGCAAAGTCTCCTGAGAGAGAAGGATCTCATAATCAATAAGCCTATGAATTGATGCCTAGAGGTGAGCTGACTCCATTAGAGAAACATTTTAATTGGGTTACTTTTAGTGTAATTTGAACAACACTAAGCAGGGGCTAGATTTTGAGTGGTGATGAAATGAATGAAAATCATGATTTGGATGAAAAAGAAGCTTGGAGAGAGGGAAGGAGATGATCCTTGACTCAAATTCCATGAGCTCTGAGCAGCATTCTGCAGGGGAAACTCCTGCACATGAAAATTTGAAAATATATCCTCTAAGAGGGAAAATCTGCTGAATTTTATATATGAAGCAACATTTATGACTGATTTGGGATTCCGTGTCCCATTGAGCTGCATATTCTGAGATGTACTGGATAACAATGATAACAAAAATTCCAGAGTAGACTGTCGTAGAATCTGGGGTCAAATAATATTAGAAATAACAGCCATCTGCCATTCATTAAACTTCTAAATACTCCAGGCCCTGAGCCAAGTGCTTCACTTATTTGCACACACTCCAGTAGTCCTATTGGACAAGGCTTATCACACCTGCTTCATAGATAAAGAACCCAAGGCTCACAGGGCTTGGGCATTTTCCAGAATCACATGGTTAGTAAGTAACAGGGCTGGAACAAGACTCCTAATCTGAATTCCTGTAGAGCCCATGCTGTTCCCATGCCTCCCAGCCTGAGGCCGACCTCCTAAGTAGTAACTCATTTCTCTTCTCAACACTGTACCATGTTTCTCAGGTGATAAAAATAAGGACTCTGAGGCCAAGGTAGCAGTAGCAGGCCTAGATAAGGCAACAATGAGAATCAAACACTATTTGAGGGTGGCCTGTGGACCTTATTAACCCGGGGACCTCCTGTGTCAATCCCCAGGGTTCCTTGAGAGCTGACTCTACCCAGGAGGTGGCATTTCTTTTCAGAGCCAGCCCTTTCCCACATTACAGCACCCTTCTCCTGGTTGTCCCCAGTGTTCCCTCCTATCCAAATCTGGAACCTGGTCTGCTGCCTAGCTTGTCACTTTGTTCTCTGCTGGAGGATGTGCCCAGAACACAGTGAAGAAGCCCAGAATCACCTGCTTACCCTGTGACACAGAGCATGCCTACACCCTACAAAAGTATTCTGACTGTTCTGTACCATTCTTGGAAATTCCTCTTATAGCAGATGTCTAACTATCATTGTCTAAAGTCAAATTTATGTTGAAAGGGATGTTCAACTTATCCTCCGCTTTCAAAGGATTTGGTTAGGAGCCGGGGAAGGAGCGTAGACAAGACACCCTCGGCTCACAAGGGACACTGGAAGGATGCAGGGAAGAGCAATTACTAGAGTCCATGAGCAAGACCACGTGTGAAACTGTCCACAGAGCCCCAGGCAGTCTGGCATTCAGAGCTCTGAATCCAGATTTCAGCCTGATGGATGCAGAGGCCTGAGGGAGAGAAGGGGGAAGTGGTGAAGGAGGATGGGACAACAAACAGAGGTAGGCTTGGGAAATCTGGACATCATCATCACCAACAGGATGTGGCTATGTGATCTGAATGGGCAGGCCAGTCGGCTGAATGCATCAGCGGCTTGCCGGACACCTTATGCTCATTCAAGATTCCCCTCCTTCTGTCAGGAAGAGTATGGCTGGCTCTCTGCATCATTCTAGGTGAGCTATCTCTCTTGACCACTCCAGTGATCCTGTGCACCCTTGCCAGCATCTGAAGGCTGGGAGCTATCTTTTTGCCTACTGCGGGGCTGGTGTTTTATCCCCTGGCGACCCTCCATAGAGGTTGGGCTATGTGGATGGGTTGCTGACTGATGACCAACAGGTGAGACTTGCCAGGAATGCCAATGATCACTGGAAGGTGGTAGTATGGCTGCATGGAGGGGAAATTGGAGGAATAGTGCCCCAGGACCAATCAGCTCAGACTCTATGGATGAAGGGCTTCTGTGGACATGCCTTGAAAATAATCCAGCTAGTGTCCCTGACTCAGATGGCCTCCTGTGGCTTCTGAGCTCTTGACACACAAGGGGACAGGTCACCTGGGTCTGTGTTGCCACCAGACACTGTCTGGGGTAGAGGGCTGGCCCAAGGTGTGGACATGGGCAAGTTGGATGGAAACCCTGTGGAGATGGCACCTTTCATTGTTAGCTAACAGAACATGTGGGGTTCAATGCAAGAAGCATCACACACCATCATGCTGGGAGCATCTTTACTTCCGAGACAGTGTTTGGGACTGAGGAAAAGGCATCTGCAGATACCCTGTCAGTGGTATTTTCCACAAGAATTCTGAACTGAAGCAAGCACAGGTAAGGGAACTGTGGGTTTCTTCACGGAGGCAGGAGACTCAGGCAGGGGAAGGTTCCACACTTTGAATCAGCAAATTCCCATGCCTTGTCATTCATTCATTCATTAATTCATTCATCCAGCAACATTTTGTTGAATACATGCTAAGGAAACATCAGGTAACAAATCAAAGTGGCAAGACCCTTAATCCAGTCTGTAGGGAATGTAAGGGAGACGATGAGGTGGTATGAGTCACTCATCTGAACCAGGGAGGCCAGGAAGGCAGAGCCAGGCTTGGGAGCAGGCCATGCACAAGAAAGGGAGGAACAGCCTATGACCAGACCAGCAAGCTGGCCTTCTATGATACTATCAATCTGGTTTTCTTCTTCGATGCTGCTTGTGGGTGAAAGCAACTGCCACTTTCTGTGCTTACCTCCTTTTGTTAATAGGGAACATGCTCGTGGTTGGCAGATGCTCACTTCTGCTCACCTCGAGTCACTTCTACTAAAGAAATGATTTCACTGCAGAAGCACAGGAAGACACTTTTGGAGATGATTAGTATATTTTGCACCTTCACTGGTTGTGGTTTCGTGGGACTATATATTTGTTAAAACTCTTTGAATTGTTTCTCAGTATTTCAGAGAAAATGTAAGCAGGAAATCAGGAAGGATACAGATGACATGATTAAAATTAAAAAAAAAAAAACCCACCACATCCAACAATAGCAGAATAAACATTCTTCTCAAGTGTGCATGAAATATTTACCAAGATAGATGGCATTCTGAGCCATGAAACAAACCTTACAAATTGAAAACATTAGAAATAACAAAAAGCATCTTCTCGAAGATGCTTCTTAAAGAACATAATGTAATTAAGCTCAGAATAAAACACAAAACTAACTGAAAAAATGCTCATATATTGGAAATTTTAAAATATAATCCTAAATAACCTATGGATCAAAGATGGAGTCTTAGGAGAATTTGAGAATATACATTAAGTTGAATGAAAATAAAAATATACATACAAATTTTTGAGGGATTCAGCTAAAGT